AACCATCCATTCTACTGGATATAAGGGAGTAATTGTTTATTTTTCTAACCATATTGGTTGTATTGTGAGTACATATATATATATTTAGAAATTTTTACCTTTTACAAACACATAACTATTTAGAGATTAAATTACAGGACAACTGGTTGCTTTAAAATCAATAGGCTGCATGTATGTAAAGAAGAAACAAATTGGGTGGGGCGCCTGTGGCTCAAAAGGGTAGGGCGCCGGTCCCATATGCTGGAGGTGGAGGTGGCAAGTGCAAACCCAACCTTGGTCAAAAACTGCAACAACAACAAAAAAAGAATATAAGAAGAAACAAATGTATTCATGAGTACATGCTGCATGATGGGGACATGAAGACATATTATACTATTTCTTTATTTTAATGCATTTTTCCTTTTTATTTATTTTTTTGAGACAGAGCCTGCCAAAGAACAATGATGGCTGCAACTAAAAAAAAAAAAAATAGCCAGGTGTTGTGGCGGGTGCCTGTGGTCCCAGCTACTTGGGAGGCTGAGGCAGGAGACTCACTTGAGCCCAGGAGTTGGAGGTTGCTGTGAGCTGTATGCCATGGCACTCTACCCAAGCAGACAGCTTGAGGCTCTGTCTCAAAAAAAATTTTTTTTCTCACTTCGCCACCTTTGGTAGAGTGCTGTGGCATCATAGCTCACAGCAACCTCGAACTCTTCAGCTCAAGCAATTCTCTTGCCTCAGCCTCCTGAGTAGCTAGGACTACAGACCCCTCCTTCCCACCACAACACCCAGCCATGCACAGTGACTCACGCCTGTAATCCTAGCACTTTGGGAAGCTGAGGTGGGTGGATTGCTTGAGCTCACAGGTTCGAGACCAGTCTGAGCCAGAGTGAGACTTCCAAAGAAAAAGAAAGAAAGAAAAAAAAGAGTGAGACCTCATTCTAAAAATAGGAATTTTTTAAGAATGTGATTAATATTTAAATCAGCCAACTTCTCACACCTGTAATCCTAGCACTCTGGGAGGCCAAGGCAGGTGGATTGCTTGAGCTCATGAGTTTGAGACTAGCCTGAGCAAAAAAGCCAGACCCCCGTCTCTACTAAAAGTAGAAAAACTGAGGCAAGAGGATTG